CTACATTGTGAGGGTCCTAGATCTGTGATAGTTATAAATGAATGAACAGAAGATAAAATACTGTGGTGCTTAAGTAAGGAGAGAAAAATAGGAAAGAGCAATTGTAAAAAAAAGGATACTAGTCCTAATATGAAATCATGCTCACATTCCATAGTATGGTAACAAAATAATGAAGAGAAATGATGGAAGTAATCCGAGATACTATTTTAAATACAGCTAATACTGAACTCATGGGGTGGCACAGTTAACTCTAACAACAAAGGCAAAATCTAATGAGACAACAGAAAAGAGGGGTGCTAACATTGTCATAGCGTAGTATATTGTAACGCCCTCCAGGTTAGTTAGATCGTTTTTTATTAGATATAGGCTGAGTAGCAGCCTGGGGATGTCAGCCTGGGAGTGAGGTAGTGAAGTCACCTCAGAACAGACTGGGAGACTCTAACAGGTCAGGGTTTCTGGAGCCCTCCCACATTTCCAGAAACCTGAGAGCTCTCTGGAGAAGGGGAGAGGAAAGGAGGAGGTCCAAATCTGCATGTTTGAGGTACCTTGACCAATCCCCTGGCAGAATACTGGGCATGGTGACAAAGGCAACCCTCAAATATCAGAGAATCTGGGAAAAGTGCTCAGTGTTGGGTTGAAGATGGATTGTGGATGGCTGGAGATAGGAGCCGCCTGGGAAGGGGCCCCAAGGAAGGGAGCCCACCGACAGGCAGTTCGCTGGAGAAGAGAATCTCCACTGCCTCAACATCTCCCAGGGAGGGCAGCCAGCTCAGCATAAGGCCCGAAGGCAGCCAACAACCCACTAAGCTAACAAAAGAGGACAGTGTGAGTACTCTTACACCCCCTGGGCCGGATAAGGGGAGAGGGGAGTCTGGTGCAAGGCCCAACTAGCTTCTCATCTGGGACTGTTCTAAACTAACAGTTCTTGGGTCCCCTTGCCCAGGGATACCCTCAGGCAGCTGGGTGAAGAGAAGAAATCATCCAGGGTCTGAGGAGGTACACCTAAGAGCCTTTGGTGCTCTTCAAGGAAAGACTGTTGGTAGTCTGAATGTTGTGCATAATTGCTAAGGAGTTTTCCCTCAAATTCTACAGTTCCTTGGGCATCCCATATACCACTAGACCCCATCCAAGTTGTTAACCCCTCAATCACAAAACCAAGCTCAAGGCCTGTTTACTGACTCCAGTGTGCAAAGTGTGGGAAATGCATGTTGCCTGGCTGTGCAGAGCATAGGGGGACCCAAAACAAATTACCTTACAAAGGTAGTGCTACAATATTGTTATTAAATTTGTATTTAAAAAAATGCAATCAATCAAAAATAGTTATACCAAAAGGCAGCAAAGTCATAAGCAGCAAGTGTAATAAAATGTCTTGAAGGAATTGCTCAACTGGGTAAATTTGCTCTGGCCACAGGCAGGAAACCTCTAGTCCGGCACAGGATGGAAACAGCACAATAAGCATTGCAAGACAGCTGTAGATGGTAACAGTGTGCTAGGATGCGCTCCTTCCAGGTATGATGTCACAGGGTTGGAAAGTCTTTTGAGGAAGATACATCCCCTTAATCAACCTACAGCAGGGGTAGGCTGATAAATTGAATGTGTTTTCCTTGAAACACTTTCCAAACCTGTGATAAAAGTGGTGGAGCCTAGCACACTGTCACCACTCTCCTGCTGTGAACGCTTGCTGAGATATCTGAGCTTGATGAGCATTTTCCTGCCTGGGGCCAGCAGAGCTTCACCCAGCTGAGGGATTCCTGTGAAACACTTTGTGACTCCTGCTACTTATAGCTTACAATTTTTCTATTTTATTTATTAATAAATTTGACATGAATATACTACATCACAGGTGTCAAGCTGGCATCCCTCCAGCTGTTGCCAAACTACAAGTCCCATGAGGCATTTCAAGATTGACAGTTACAAGCATAACTCCCAAAGACAGGCATGATGGGACTTGTAGTTTCGCAACAGCTGGAGGGCCACCAGTTTGACACTCCTGTACTACATTATGGCAGTGTTTGCACCACTTTTTTTCTGTTTTGCCATATTTATAAACTATTGAATATGCATCTGTATTTTGTCTATTAGGCTGGAAAAACAGATTGAACTTGAGGCCCCATTCACACCTGAGTTTTGTAGCACAAAGCTCAAAGCTCCAAAACGCTCAGGGAGAAAAAAAAATCAATATTACTCTATGGAGATGGTTGCCGAAGCAGAATAACTGAAACTCAAAAAAGTTTTGGAGCTACTTTTATAGCTACATTCTAGCAGATTGATGCATTTTTGGTGTGTTTTCATTTCCATAGTGCTTTAGCACATTTGTAGAGTGATTGAGAGTGGGCATGGCAACACATGGCAACAAAAGGTGTCACTTATGACATTTTCTCTATTGGCTAATATAAAAATTCCAAATCTCAAAAAAGCCCAAAAATGCCTAAAAAAAAGCGCATAAGAACATGCAACAAAACGCACAAAAAAAACATACAAAAACACTACACTCAGGTATGATTGGAGCTTCAAACAGTTTGACTTGTAGTATGTTTAATTTCATAAAGCATTTTTGCTCTAATAAAGCCCTATTATTTTTAAAGTGCAACTGTGCTTAATAAGTAGGGAGCACGTGTCAAGGAATGTATTTTCTAAAACAGTTAAAGCATATCTATATTCAAAATGTAAAATCTTATTTTCATTTCCACAATGTATTTCAATTATTTCTAGTCTCATCCTATTAATCTGAATGATCCTGCTGTTTGTACATTTACATAAAGCAGAGCTCCAACCAAAAGGGGCAGTTCAGCTTTAAGAACTTGTCCCTAGCTCCCTGTGCAGAATTGGCACATTTGAGTTTTTTCCAACTTCCACTCGAACTGCCTAGGCCAGTGATGGCAAACCTATGGCACGCGTGCCAGAGCTGGCACGCAGAGCCATCTCAGTGGGCACGCCAGGAAGAAGAGGAACAACGCGCTCTCCTGCGCACCCCCCCCAGGGGCGCGCACCGGGCGATCTCCGTGATCGCTGTGTCCTACGGACACAGCTGATCATGTGACGTGGTAAAAGGCCAATCACAGCGGCCTTTTACCACGTGATCAGCCGTGTCCAATGACACGCTGATCACCGGGAAATGCAAATGCAGATCGTGAGGAAATTACTGCTGAAAACCGGCAGTTGTCAGAGCAGGGAACGGCACCGATCATCAGGGTCACTGATCATCAGTGCCCTGATGATCGGTGCCCAGCAGTGCCACACACAAGTTCCGCCCACCTGTGCCCAGCAATGCACCCACCTGTGCCCAGCAATGCACCCACCTGTGCCCAGCAGTGCGCCCACCTGTGCCCAGCAATGCACCCACCTGTGCCCACCTGTGCCACCCACCTGTGCCCAGAAGTGCCACCTACCTGTGCCCAGTAGTGCCACCCACCTGTGCCAACCCACCTGTGCCCACCAGTGCCACCCACCTGTGCCCACCAGTGCCACCCACCAGTGCCCATCAGTGCAGCCCAGCAGTGCTGCCAGTCAGTGCCACCAGTCAGTGCCCAGCGGTTGTGCCAGTCAGTGCCCAGCAGTGCCGCCAGTCAGTGCCCAGCAGTGATGTCAGTCAGTGCCACCTATCAGTGCTGTCTATCAGTACCCATTATCAGTGTTGCCTATCAGTGCCACCAATCAGTGCCGCCTCATCAGTGCTACCTATCTGTGCCGCCTCATCAATGCCCATCAGTGCTGCCTATCAGTGCAGCCTCACCAACGCACATCAAAGAAGAAATATTACCTGTTTGCAAAATTTTAGAATAGAAGCAAAGGAAACCTTTTATTTTTTTTAATTTTTTTGCTCTTTTTTCATTTATAGTGCAAAAAATAAAACACCCAGTGGTGATTAAATATCACCAAAAAAAAGCTCTATTTGTGTGAAAAAATGATAAAAATTGCATATGGTTACAGTGTTGCATGACCGCACAATTGTCATTGTTAAGTGCAACAGCACTGAAAGCTGAAAATTGTCCTGGGCAGGAAGGGGGTAGAAGTGTCCGGTAGGCAAGTGATTAATTCCAGTGTTGGCACTTTGAAATAAAAAAGTTGGTTTTGTGTTGCAGTTTGGGCACTCGGGCTCAAAAAGGTTCGCCATCTCTGGCCTAGGCAAATAACAGGTCCCAAAACACTGGAGAACCGCTATAGAGATGTGTGAAGTTCCTGCACAGGGGCGGACTGACAACTCATGGGGCCCCCAGGCAATAGGGGATCATGGGGCTCCTGTGTCCTTTCCCAAACTCAAAAAAGCCTATGAAAAAGGTACCAGGGGCATCTCATGGGGCCCCCTACTGACTCTGGGCCCTCAGGCAGTGCCCGAGTTTCCAAATGGTCAGTCCGCCCCTGTTCCTGCACAATTACTTCCTTGTATTCTGTGACATGTATTCACTATGTCCTGTGAGTGGTCACAGCTGTGTCACACATTTCACAGAGCCTGCCTTCTGAACTACAGAGGTGCTGAGAGGAGGAGTTTCAGGAGGTGGAGTCAGTACAGAAATCACTGCTTGCACACAACAAGGTACCATGGGATATGTAGTTCTTAGACATTGTAAGTAAACAGCAGAGGAGAAGCTGCAAAGCAAGCAGGGAATCCAGAAAAGCCTGGAAAGAGATGACTAGCAGAAAAGGAGAATTTTAACTCTTATAATGTCATAAATAACTACTGATTGTATTGCCATTGCAATGCTGATGTTATAAGAGTAGTGTAGAATAGAACTAATTATATAGTTTTGACATGTTCATCCCGTTGCCCTGGTATTCACCATTGTAGTTGCAAACATAAGCTGGCTCAGGTGTTCACAAACTAAAGGGTTTTTTTGACTAATTTTTTTTTTTGGGAGGCGTCAGATGGTCAAATCATTACCTAAAATCAACACCGTGGAATTTGTATGGAAACAAGTTACAAAAAAGGATCTGTTTTAGTCATCTACGTTAAAATTCACCACATCAACTTTGTGTAAATAAATCTGTGGTCTTGTTCCTACCGTGAAGTGGAGAATTCGGAGGGACTTGGGACATGTATGAAACCAATGGATCTTGTACATCATATCGTGTGATCATCTGAGAGAAAAACATAAATATATCACCCTTAGTAAGGCTATTCTCATTCCTTGGAACATCCATATTTAAAGGGAGGTGGCACACTGGCCAAATCTGTCATGTTAATGAGAAGGTTGCTTAACATCATTAGGCCTATTTTGAAAGGGTGGAGAAAAAACAGTTTAGTACAGTCAAGACAAAAACAGTCATTGTTGCCTGATTGCTATGGGCAATCCACATACAGTATGTACACTTAGGTCCATATGTATTTGGACACAGGCACAATTTTTGTTTTTTTCAGGTATTTACCAAAACATATTCAAGCTATAGTTACAATTGCAAGAAAAAGTATGTGAACCCCTTGGGATTTCATGGAGTTTTGCATGAATTGGGCATAAAATGTGCTCTGAACGTCATCTAAGTCACAACAATAGAAGAACACAGTCTGCTGAACATAATACTACACAAACATTAGATGTTGCCATGGTTTAATTGCACATAACATGTAAACATTCACAGTGCAGGGAGGAAAACGTATGTGAACCTTTAGACTTAATAACTGGTTGACCCTCCTTTGGCAGCAATAACCTCAACCAAACGTTTCCTGTAGTTGCAGATCAGACCTGCACAATGATCTGGAGTAATTTTGGACCACTCCTCTTCACAAAACTGTTTCAGTGTAGCAATATTCTTGTGATGTCTGGTGTGAGTCGCTCTCTTAAGGTCATGCCACAGCATTTCAATCGGGTTGAGGTCAGGACTCTGACTGGGCCACTCCAGAAGGCGTATTCTGTGCTGTTTCAGCCATTGTTTTGTTGAATTACTTGTATGCTTTGGGTCATTGTCCTGTTGCATCACCCATCCTCTGCGGACCTTCAGTTGGCGGACAGATGGTCGTACGTTTTCCTGCAAAATGTCTTGATAAACTCTGGAATTCATTTTCCCATCAATGACAACAATCCGTCCAGGCCCTGAGGCAGCAAAGCAGCCCAAACCATGATGCTCCCCCCGCCATGTTTTACAGTGGGGATGAGGTATTGATGTTGGTGTGCTGTGCCTTTTTTTCTCCACACATAGTGTTGTGTGTTCTTCCCAAACAACTCAATCTTGGTTTCATCTGTCCACAGTATATTTTGCCAGTAGTGCTGTGGAACATCTAGGTGCTCTTTTGCAAACTTCAAACGTGCTGCAATATTCTTTTTGGACAGCAATGGCTTCCTCCGTGGTGTCCTCCCATGTACTCCATTCTTGTTTAATGTTTTCCTTATTGTAGATGTGTCAACAAAAATGTTAGCATGTGCCAGAGATTTCTGTAGGTCTTTAGCTGACACTCTGGGATTCTTCTTTACCTCATGCAGCATTCTGCGCTGTGCTCTTGCAGTCATTTTTACAGGACGACCACGCCTAGGGAGAGTAGCAACAGTGCTAAACTTTCTCCATTTGTAGACAGTCTGTCTAACCGTGGACACATGAACATCAAGGCTTTTGGAGATACTTTTGTAACCCTTTCCAGCTTCATGCAAGTCAACAATTCTTGATCGTAGGTCTTCTGAGAGCTCTTTTCTGCGAGGCATGGTTCACATCAGACAGTGCTTGAAACCAGTAAACCCAAAACAGGGGTGTGTTTTTTTAAGGGCAGGACAGCTGTCAGCAACACATCCAATATCATCACACTGATTGGAGTCAAGGTTGGCTCACTCCTGGCTCCAATTAGCTCTGGGAGAAGTCATTAAGCTAGGGCCTCACATACTTTTTCCTCCCTGCACTGTGAATGTTTACATGTTATGTGCAATTAAACCATGGCAACATCTAATGTTTGTGTAGTATTATGTTCAGCAGACTGTGTTCTTCTATTGTTGTGACTTAGATGACGTTCAGAGCACATTTTATGCCCATTTCATGCAAAACTCCACGTAATCCCAAGGGGTTCACATACTTTTTCTTGCAACTGTATATAATGGATATGGGCTGAAAGTGCACACTCAGGTTTAATTTGAGGGTATGTACATCCAAATTGGAGGAAGGGTTTAGTAATTATAGCTCTTAAGAGTAGCCATCCCCCCTTTTTCAAGGGACCAAAAGTAATTGGACAAATGAATATAATCATACATAAAATGTTCATTTGTAATATTTTGTTGAGAATCCTTTACTGGCAATGACTGCCTGAAGTCTGGAACACATGGACATTACCAAAAACTGGGTTTCCTCCTTTCTGATGCTTTGCCAGGCTCTCACTGCAGCTGTTTTCAGTTGTTCTTTGTGGGTCTTTCTGCCTTTAGTTTTGCCTTCAGCAAGTGAAATGCATGCTCAATGGGGTTGAGATCAAGTGATTGACACGGCCATTGCAGAATATTCCACTTCTTTTCCTTCAAAAGCTGCTGGGTTGCTTTTGCAGTGTGTTTTGGATCATTGTCCATCTGTACTGTGAAGCGCCATCCAATCAACTTTGCTGCATTTGGCTGAATCTGTACTGACAGTATATCTCTAAACACTGCAGAATTCAGCCAGAGAGAACATACATACAAACTCCATGTAGATGGTAGCCATGACGGGGTTCAAGCCCTCTGCTGCAAGTCAAGAGTGCCAATCACTTACTCCACACCATGGCCTACATTTTAATTTTAAAGTGCAACTAAAAGGAATAGAGTTTTGATAGAGTTGAGAGGGATTTCAACACCTGTTAGGTTTTTATTGCTGTCTGTGCCCCCATTCACTATCTCTATTAGTCCTATTTACCATTATCAATGAAAGTGATAGTAGAATAACAAAAAATCCCAAATTTTGGGTTGTCCCCAGAACAGGGATAGTTTATTTCATCTAATGAGGACATTCGTTCTGCTGACCCTTGTGACAACTATCAATTACCTATCTTTAGAGGGATTTTTTTAACTTTTGGTTTTGGCTAGGTGACAGGAAGTGAAGGGAAATCTCCCCAATGGGACACAGATGACAATAATAAACCTTACAACCTTTGATTGCTCCTGGTGTCCTGAACATTTGTAAAGCACATTGGTGTGCTTTATAAATGTGCATTATGTTTTTTTTTCTATGGTGTAGCAGCGGTATGGCTACACCACACCTTATTCATGGGCCACTACTGTATTTTTTTTACTGCAGATACATAGGTCACACCTGGTTTACTGCACCGTGGCAAGATGTTACATTACAATAAGATAGAACAATACATTGTCCAATTTATTTTCTTTAATTCCTTTGCTGTTTTCTAAGCTGTGTGCAGTAGCGTAGCATGGGTTGTCAGAGCCTGGGGGAAGGGAAGTAATTTGCACACCCTGATTCTTGGGCTTTTAGGCTCCATGCACACTAGCAGCTCCAAAACCACTAGAAAAAATGCTGGATAGAAATGCTAATTTTAATGTTTTTGCATTTTTGCTTAAGGAGCGTTTTCAAAGAAGAGTTTTAATAGTGATAGCGTTTATAAGGAGGACCGGCCGCCCATTGTTAACAAAATAGCAGGGTCTGCCTAATACAAGCCAGACCCTTAGGGTCTGGTATGTATTTTAAGGGGAACGCCATGCCAAAATTAAAAAAAAAAAACGGCATTGGAGTTTCCCCAAATCCATATCGCACCCTTAGGTCTGGTATGGATTTTGAGGCGAACCCCATGCCAAAATTTTAAAAAAGCCCCCCTATCCCAAAGCACCCCCCCATGTTGATGGCACATGGCCTGTATGGTCCAGGAGGGGGGTTGCTCACCTCCTGGGCCTCCTGGGCCTGCCAGGCTGCATGCTCGGATAAAAGTCTAGTATGGATTTTTTAAAATAACAGCGTGGTTCTCCCCCAAAATCCATACCAGACTCTTAGTATGGATGGGGGAGACCCCCACACTGTTTTTTTTTAAGTTTTCATTGCCAGCAATTGTTTTGTTTACATTCAGTTGTTAGCGGGAACCCTGCTGACAGCTGAGGACTCATCCAACGTTAAGGATGTAGCCGCTGCTCCTTAAAAACAACTGTAATTAACAAGGAGGGCTGGCTGGGGTATCGGACCCAGCACAGTTGGGATGGCGCAGGACTATTTTCTGCACCCCTCTAAATGACTGGCCCAGCTGCCCCCCTACGCTATGCCACTGGCCATGTATTATTAATAAAAACTCTATGTATTTATTTATATATACTGTATGTATTGAGCACTACATCAGAAAACAGGGTGTACTGGCAGAGGTAAGTTCAGATTTAATTAAAAGAATCCCTGCTTTTTACCCAAAATGTATATTTATTTGAATACTGTTGAAAACATGCACATACACAGAAAATAAATATAGATGATCATCAACATATGATGGCTGTATTAAACATGCTAACTTTTAAAACTGCAGTAAAGCAACTATTGTATTTTAGTTGTCATTATGGTCTATAGGGGGAAGTTTAAACATGAGTAATTCCTAAATCTGACCAGGAGCTTTTTTTATTATAAAAGCATTTTGCATGTTGAAGTTTGTTCTACATTCTTAGAATGGTAGAGGTCCTAATTGTGGGACGTTTATGACAGATTGATAATATACAGCAGGTTTGAAGGAGACTGCACCTGCCCTCATCTTCTTAGCCCTGCATGTTGGGCACATTACATATTGATGTACATTGATTTTCCAAGGTTGCTACAAAACAACAGATTTGGAGATCAAATTAACGTGCCTGAACTAAATGCAGAGAGTGAGGAAAGCATTTGAAACTGCCCTACATGCAATAGTTCAGAGGCTGTGACCTGTGGAGTGGACCTGCTACATATATGATCAGTCATACCCATTTCCTACTCAGTGGTAGAAAACAAATTTGGTTTTCTATACATTACACAATTTATACTGCTGTTAGGTTGTTTGTAACAAGCTAATTATTCCAATGTATTTTTCTTTTAAAATTTCGGTTTACTTCATATTTCAGGTTAAAAACCAGCTAAACATTTTATCTGACAATCTTTACATAAACTTTAAATAGCATCATACTCACTTGTGACTTTTCCCGTGGCAAATGGCAGTTTTCACAAATATCAAAATTTTCCATCCAGTCATCTTCATATTCAGAGCTACATCCACACCCCATTGTACCTGCATAAAGATCCTTAAGTAAAGAGTCTTCATTCAGTAAATTTATGTGCATATAGATGATTTTTTTTTCTTAACATCTTTATTAAAAATGCTACAAACAAATAGGATAGCTACACAGAACCTCAGTAAATAAACTGTTACAATGTTTCTGTACTCAAGCAAATAACGGGATTTCCCAAGCCATTATGAGACATTGTTCATAAGTGAAACAACCTCTGTGTATCATCTTAGGCTAGTCTCGTAAGCAGGTACAGTGGATATAAAAAGTCTACACTCCCCTGTTAAAATGTCAGGTTTCTGTGATGTAAAAAAATGAGACAAAGATAAATCATTTCAGAAATTTTTTTCCTCCTTTACTGTAACCTATAAACTGAACTATAAACTGAACAACAAACTGAAATCTTTTAGGTGGAGGGAAGTAAAAATAAAAAACAAAAATAATATGGTTGCATAAGTGTCCACACCCTTAAACTAATACTTTGTTGAAGCACCTTTTAATTTTTTTACAGCACTCAGTATTTTTGGGTATGAGTCTATCAGCATGGAACATCATGACCTTGCAAAAACACTCCAAATCTGTCAGGTTGCGAGGGCATCTTCTGTGCACAGCCCTCTTCAGATCACCCCTCAGATGTTTGATCGGATTCAGGTCTGGGCTGTGGCTGGGCCATTCCAAAACTTTAATCTTTTTCTGTTGAAGCCATTCCTTTGTTGATTTGGGTGTATGCTTTGGGTCATTGTCATGCTAAAGATGAAGTTCCTCTTCTTGTTCAGCTTTCTAGCGGAAGCCGGACGATTTTGTGGCAATATTGACTGGTATTTGGAACTGTTCATAATTCCCTCTACCTTGACTAAGGCCCCAGTTCCAGCTGAAGAAAACATCCTCTAAGCATGATGTTGCTACCCCCATGCTTCACTGTGGGTATGGTGTTTTTTTTGGTGATGTGCAGTGTTGTTTTTGCGCCAAACATATCTTTTGGAATTAAGGCCAAAAAGTTCAACCTTGGTTTCATCAGACCATAACACATTTTCCCACATGCTTTTGGGAGACTTCAGATGTGTTTTTGCAAAATTTAGCCAGGCTTGGATGTCTTTCTTCGTAAGAAAAGGCTTCCGTCTTGCCACTCTACCCCATAGCCCATATGAAGAATTGTTGTCACATGTACCACACAGCCAGTACGTGCCAGATATTCCTTTAATGTTGCTGAAGGCCTCTTGGCAGCCTCCCAGACCAGTTTTCTTCTTGTCTTTTCATCAATTTTGGAGGGACGTCCAGTTCTTGGTAATGTCACTGCTGTGCAATATTTTCTCCACTTGATGATGACTGTCTTCATTGTGTTCCATTGTATATCTAATGCCTTAGAAATTATTTTGTACCCTTCTCCTGACTGGTACCTTTTAACAATGAGATCAAGCTGATGCTTTGCAAGCTGTCTGTGGACCATGGCTTTTGCTGTAGGATGCGACTAAGACAATGTCAGGAAAGACCTACTAGAACAGCAGAACTTAATTTGGGGTTAATCAGAGGCACTTTAAATGATGGCAGGTGTGTACTGACTCCTATTTAACATGATTTATAATGTGATTGATTAATTCTGAGCACATTATTATTATTATACAGTATTTATAAAGCTCCAATAGTTTGCTCAGCGCTGTACATTACAAAGGGGACAGAACATGTGACAGAACAATAACAATACAATGCAAAACATGAGGAGATCGAGGGCCCTGCTCATCTACATCCCCAGTTATAAGAGGGTGTGCACACTTATGCAATCACATTATTTTTGTTTTTTATGCTTACTTCCCCCCTAAAAGATTTCAGTTTGTTTTTTTAATTGAGTTGCACAGTTTATAGGTCACAGTAAAGGAGGAAAAAGTTCTGAAATTATTTATCTTTGTCTTGTTTGTTTACATCACAGAAACCTGACATTTTAACAAATGTGTGTAGACTTTTTATATCCACTGTATATGTAAGGGTTTACAACCACTTTAATTAGGAAAGATAATATTTTTACTACAAGGTCTATTTACTGTATAAATTTTACACACAAAATTCCTGCAGTTTTTACCCAGTATTCATACATTTTTCATTCAAATGCAATTAGAAAAATGTGTGAATATTGGGTGAAAGTTGTGTAGACCCATATATTTTTTTCATGTTTGGAACATACAGGATTGCTAAATCATGCATTCTGATTTAACAGCCAGTGGTTTGACAGGTGTGCTGCATTTATTCACTTATTTATTATTTATTTATTTTAACCTCCCTGGCGGTATGATTATTTCAGATTTTTGGTGCTGAAAGCGGTACCCATTATTTTGCATGGAAATATGTAGTTTTTTTATTGTAGGCTGTAATATTTAGGAATAACTCACTGAAATCTGTCCGAACAAGAGTCTATTAAACATCCCGGGGTATGATAAAATTTGAAACACAAAATCATAAATTATAATTTAATAAATAATCATAAAAAATAATAATATAATAATAATACATTTAATTCAATAATATAATCAAACCAAAAACACTGAAATTTGAAATATAGCGCCAAGTTCGCACATCACTGAGCAAAGTCGCAAAATTGTTTTCAGTGTCTGATGACGAATTTCTCCACGAATCATTATCACTCAATTCTGCAAGTGGTTCTGATTTACTATCGCTGTTCTCTTGCCGGTCTAAAACCGCTTTTGAAATAAAGGGATGCTTTTTGTACGCCATGGACTTTTCTAAGTTTCCAGGCAGAAAGAACAGTCAAAATGCAGGCAGGGGACAGGACACAAGCAGTAGGGACAAAATGTATGTGAAATGGTTTGAAACAGCAATGTTTTATTATGTAAAATTAGTTTTGAAAAAAATTATATTTTTTTAAAATTTTAAAATTTCCCACCGTCGGCGGCGCCCGTAAGTCCCGACGTCACAGGGACCGGAACACAGAAGTCGGATGCCGGCATCGGCCGGAGGAGATGGCTGGGGACACTGCAGGGGACACATCATGGGAGCGAAGGACAAGGTAAGTGCTGGAGGGGGACTCCCTATGCAGCGCCGCATGGTAAGCCTGAGTGTAGCTCGGGGTTACCGCTTTTGGTACAGAAACTTTACCCCGAGCTACACTCGGGAATACCGCCAGGGAGGTTAATCATCATCATCATCATCTAGACTAAAGCCCCATGAGTTTGTTTAATCTGGTGGTAGAGGAGCACTTATTGGTGGTGAAAATTAAGAAGGCACAGTAATTAATTGTTATTTGTTGTGGACATTCTTTATCACAGACTTTATTATTGGTTTATTATTTATGATTATATGAATTAGATGTTTATTGCACAGCAATTATCATTAGTATATGAATTATATATTTATTGCACTGTAATTATTTATGGCACGTGACACTTTTTATTGTATAGATGTTTTGCACATAGCACTTTGATTTCTGCACATGGCACACTGAGTTTTTTCAAGAAACCTGCTATATTTATTATTTGCATGGCTGCAGGTGACTCTTTGCATAACATTTATTAGAGTTTGGGTATAACAAACAAGGGGGTGTTGAGTAGCGTTGTTTTTCAAATTTATACACACTGAAAGCTATGTTCTAATGATCAGATTATCGTATGATGATCGCTGTGAAAGTGGTATTTTTTGTACAATTTTCTAATTGTGTGTACTAGGCTTAAGGATATGGTTATCTATTTTACTGAAACAAAAATTCAAACAATATATATACGGTAAGTTGCGAATCACAACCTATATTTCCACGCTGAAGTGATGATGAAAATAACACATAAAATTAAATTATATATAGTAAAACAGAGCAGCCGTTTTAAATAACTCATAAATCAATATACAGGGGCTAAAAAAATTCACATAAACAGCGCTCTGTCATACTAAATTAAACTTGAAAAAGAGTCATAAATAAACCAATTATAAAGGAAATAATATAGAAACTTCCACCAAAGTGAAAAAAACTGTGAAAAAGTTCAGTTCATTTCAGTAATGTGATATCTCTTTAAGGTAGCTCGATCCACCATCAATGTGATCCTGCAGTGATTATCACCCCATTGAATTCAACATTCACCAGAAGCTGGTTAATAACCAACAGTGGAAAATCAGTAGAAAACAACCTCCTAGATGCTGAATGGTTGTGAAAGCGACAGTAGGATAATCAGCCAGCAGCCCAAAAAGCAACCTCCAATCAATGAATTAATGATCACTCCTGCTCCGATCTCCTCATCATCCAGATTAAATTATATCAATTCCACTCCATATATGGGCAAAATAAAACAGCCACATAGTGTGATTCTGTAAACACATGTATTACCTTAACCCCCCCCCCTTAAAATGACACTCACATTGAGTTAAAAAGTAAAGCACATTGTAAGGATAGCACTTATAATGGCCGCCGCTTCTGCGGCTGGTGACAGTCTCACCACATGCTGGTTCCTATGGATTCCGGCAGCAACGGTCACATGATTGCACCATGTGGTCCCGGTGTGCGTGCTTACGTCACAGATGGTCTTGTCTGACGCGTTTTATCATTTTCGACTTCCTCAGTGGAAGTTGGAATGATGAAACGCATCAGAGCGTGACCATCTGTGACGTCAGCATGCAAACTGGGTCCATGTGGTGCAATCACGTGACAGTTTTTTTTTTTTTCACTTTGGTGGAAGTTTCTTTATTATTTCCTTTATAATTGGTTTATTTACGACTCTTTTTCAAGTTTAATTTAGTATGACAGAGTGCTGTTTATGTGAATTTTTCTAGTCACTGTATATCTATTTTACTGACCCTGAAAATTCTGTACTTTTTGCTTATTAGTGTAGCACCCTCATAGATAGGTGCTAGGATATACATAGTTAGATTAGTGTAGTTTGCTCTTGTGCCTAACAGAGGAGCTAATAGGTAAATCTTTCCTTGGCATTCTGCTTAAGTGCTGCAGTCTATTAGTCAGGACTTCTCATGGTATTCTGCTGCTGTTTGAGTCTGCTTTGAGCTCCTCCTGCCTTCTGGAAGCA